CCATCCCAACCCCCCCCCCCTCCCCTCCATGGTCCACCCCCCTCCCTGCCGGCTGCCTCCCTCCCCGCTGTGGTTTTCGGGGGTCCCCCACTCTTCTGGGGATCCCTGGACCACGGCAAGTTAATTCAGGATGGAGAGCAGGGAGCAGAGCGGAGAACTTCCGTTCTCCGCTTTGCTTTGTGTTAACAGTGAGACGGGAACACTGGACACGCAGCCTTCCCATCTCAGCTGTCACACTGCTGTGCTCAAACTCCTGTATTAGAGGTGACAGATTCAGTAAAGAGAACCTGTCACCTCCAAATGCTATCACACAGGGGCTTGTTAGCTCCTGTGTGATAGCAATAAAGTTAAGTGGAAAAAAAAGTTTTACAAAATAATAAAACAAATACAAATTAAAAATTGCTAAAAAATAAACAAATTAAGAAATTTAAAAATATTATAATAAAGATAAATAATAATTTAAAAAAGTAAATAAATAAAGTGATAACAAGTAAACAATAATAAAATAAAAATTATACAAAATAAAAATTAAAAGATAGTAAGATAAATAAAAATGTAAACAAAAAATTGAAATTAAACGCGCTGTAAAACGCTCAACATGTGAAAACCACTGATTGCCTATGGGCATGGTTCCCACCTGTGCGTTTTACAGCCGCGCGTTTCCATTGGTATTCCCGAGTGTGAATCAGGGTTAACAAAGTGGTAACCCCGAGCCACACTCGGGAATACAGCGTACAGGTCTTACCTTGTCCGCGATCCCTGACGTGTCCTCCTGCGGCTGCCGACTTCCGGGTTCCGTCCCTTGCGAAAGGCTGCGTCGCAGGGGGGCTGAGCCGGCAGGAAGTTTAAAAGTGAAACTAAAAAAAATATATATTTACAAATAGAGAAAATAAAGGAAAAAAAATCATACTGCCAGTGAAACGCGCGTTTCACTGAACGGAAAAACGTGTTAAAAAACGCGAAAAAATACGCTCAGGTGTGAACCCAGCCTAAGAGTCTCTTCATCAGGGTTTAAAGTTATATTGAAATCGAACATTTTTAAGCTTTTTCAAATACTGATGAAATCACTTACAATGGATGCTGCTTCTTAATGTTTAAAAGTTTTAGTTTCCTGCAGAATCAGCTGGTCCCCAGAGCACTGGCCCTGATATCCTGTTTTAAGGTGGCTACTTCCCCTTGCAGGGTCCTATGGCGCCACCCTTGTGTGTGCTAGTAAGCTGTGTGTGTCTCCACAAACACAGACACAGCAAGGCAAGCCATTTTCCTCTCCTCCATCCTCCTTTCTCGCTTCTCCAAGCTAGTAGTGTAGATTGATGGGTCCCTTGTGATCTTGTACTGGACAGGAAGTTCTGGGAAGGCGAGCTGAGAGAGTTGGAGCTGTTTGGAAATGATGGCTGTAAGTGCTTGGGAAATATGTAAAGAAATATTTTGCTGGGTAATATATATTTGTTCGATCTGGATTCATTATTGAAAAAACTAGTTTGAGAGCTGACTACTATATCAAACATTTGAAATGTATAAAGCTTGACCACCAAATCTAAGGAGTCCCGAGAGCTGGCATTTCAGCATTAGGAAGATAACGCTCACCATGACCCCAGCATTAGGAAGATAACGCTCACCATGACCCCAGCATTAGGAAGATAACGCTCACCATGACTCCAGCATTAGGAAGATAACGCTCACCATGACCCCAGCATGAGGAGGATAACTCTCACCATGACTCCAGCATGAGGAGGATAACTCTCACCATGACTCCAGCATGTGGAGGATAACTCTCACCATGACTCCAGCATGGGGAGGATAACTCTCACTATGACTCCAGCATGAGGAGGATAACTCTCACCATGACTCCAGCATGTGGAGGATAACTCTCACCATGACTCCAGCATGAGGAGGATAACTCTCACCATGACTCCAGCATGTGGAGGATAACTCTCACCATGACTCCAGCATGAGAAGGATAACTTTCACCATGAATCCAGGATGAGGAAGATAACTCCCACCATGACTCCAGGATGAGGAAGATAACTCCCACCATGACCCCAGCATGAGGAGTGTAACTCTCACCATGACACTAGCATCAAAAGGATAACGCTCCCCATGACTCCAGTATGAGGATGATACCTCTCACCAAGACCCCAACATGAGGAGGATAACTCTCACCATGACTCCAGCATGAGGAGGATAACTCTCACCATGACTCCAGCATGGGGAGGATAACCCTCACCATGACCCATCCAGCGCTGTGAAGGTATGGTCATCCTGATCCTCGGATTCTTGTTAGTAAGCTCT